GGGACAGTGCCCAGGAATCAAACCAAGCACTCACTAATTGAAGAAGAAAATTGCAGTCTAGAAAACAGTCTCTTTTTAAAGCCATCTTTTAAATAATATTTTTACGTTTGCAAAAATTGCAAATATAAAAAGTTGGACTGAGATAGGAGCCCCAAGACGACGCAGATTTTTCAAGGATGCCAGGTGCTGATGCGGTAAGAAAACACCTGGGCTAGCAAACCCACTGAGCATATTTGTGCCCCACAGCGGACCATGGCATTTCAATGCTGCTAGCCAAGAAGAAGATAATCCACCTAACTTGCCTTGATCACAAAAAAAAAAAAAAAAAAAAAAATTAACTGGGGTGGGGCTTCCTGCTTGGCTATCTGCCAGTTCTCCTGGGTGTGTGGAATTTGCAAAGTAAGCAGCCTCAGACAGTACGCGCAGCCCAGCAGCAGCTTGGCCCCGACAGAGAAAGCTCTGATCAGTAAATGCACACTCCAGTTCCCTTGGCCACTTGATTCTCACTACAAATTAAGGAACTGGTGTTCTGATTTATTAATTAGTCTTTTGTGAAACTGAGTACTGTGGGTGAGTCCCTGCAGACCTAACAACTTTTGGGAGTTGTAACAAATCCAGTTTCTGGATCTTCAGTGGGAAACCAGCTCTGAATTATTAGTAGGGATAATTCTACTCCATATGCTCCCCACCCCCACGAGCACAGTCACACATACTGAAGCACGCATGAAAAGTGCACACGCACACACATATGTACGTACACACTTCTGAAGCCCTGTAAGGCCAGCAGCCTTACAAGGATGCTGTTGTTAAGCTCATCATCCTGTAACTGCAAATTCACGAGGTTGAAAAAAATAGGAATGTTTCCTTTAAATGTGCTTTCATCGCCTCCATCTTTGCTGTTGCTAGCTTCTCACGGAGGGCAAGCAGGCTCAGGTTAGCACAAAACCAGTCTGGATACAGTAGCGGGATTGTGTGTGTGTGTGTGTGTGTGTGTGTGTGTGTGTGTGTGTGTGTGTATCCTATAGTTCTGCCCCAGGCTGACCCTAATGGCAGCCAGGCAGCAGGCACTGCTCCCCTGGAAGCAGGAACTGAGCCTGACCACAGGGTTCCTGGACACAGATGAGAAGGACAAAGACAGCCTTTTCTTTTCTACCACCTACACCAGGCCCTTTAGGCCTTTTCTCTGCAGGAGCTAAAAACCAGCAATGGACAGTCCAGGAGCCTTTAAGAAACATCCTGTTTAATGTTAAAAAACACAGTGTCAAATACTTGAAAAGCCAGTTCTCTGACTGCCAGTGTATCTACTCTTCACACCTCTTACTTCTTGCCAACTCAGAAGACAACCTGAAGTTCTTACTTGGCCTTTTGCACTGGTCCCCATCTGCTCCCTGACAGACTCACTATCACTCTGGCCTTGTTTTATTCCACTGCAGCCAATGGGCCTCCTCAGTGCTCCTCTAAGCACTCCTAGGTGTGCCTCAAGACCTCCACACTTCCTGCTCCTTCCTGGTGAAACACCCCTCCCTCACAGACGACCTCAAGACTAGCTCCCTTGCTTCCTTGAGGCCTTCATTCGAATATCATCTTAGCAGAGATGCCTTTCCTACCATCCTAAAATGTACAGCAGCCCTGTCTCCTATTACTTCTTATTCTCTTAACCTGATTTGTCATCACAGTTTCTGTTTCTCACTACACGCTATGCATGAGTTTATTGTCTGTCTCCTGCACTAGAAAGCTCCTAGAAAGCAGGGATTTTTGGTCCGAACTAATGATTTGCACTTCCCCAGGGACTCACTAGCACTCAGGGCATAGTAAGTACCAATAAATATATGCTAAATGAATGAATTGCAGTTTTGTTTCCCCATTTTCTTAATTATTTTATCTACTTCCCCCTAAAGTATAAAATCTTCAGATAACCTGTTGACTCTAGAAGGGAGTCAATTCTCCTTGAAGTCCTTCAGGTAGTGAAGCCTGAAGCAGCTCAACACAAAGTCTAGGAAGTCCTCTGGGGCCAATAAAGGATTTTCAAGCATTAAATAGTTCTATGGAAAACCACACTAAGTGGGGGATGCGAAAGGGATTCTAAAACCATTCTAGGAGGTAATGGCTGAATTCATCTTGGAGAAAAGAATATTCTTTGATTTGAGTCACTTTAATGTACTTTTTAGTTCTGCAAAGAGAGGCCTAGAGCCTGCATAGGATAAAAGAGGCAGAAATAAGGAGGGCAAAATTTTGCTCTCAGACTGTTATAAAAGATGTCTAGCCTAGTAAGAGAGTTTTTTTTTTTAATTTTGATGTTTTCTGGTCCCACTGTCTAATCTGAAAGACCAAAGTCTGAGCAAAAGCTAGAAATGTAAAGAATAAAGTAAAACACAGAGGTTAGTCTGTTCAATGCTGCAGGAAGACAGAGCTGAAGGCAAGATCAGAAGGGGCTCCTCCAAAGTTGGATTTTTCACACTCAGCTTTATGTTTCATGATCTTTGAAAAAATGCCCCTTATTAGCCCCAAGTCTTCAACAAAGACTATGTCAACCACTAGCAATGTCAGCCTCATGTTTGTGCTGTTGTGGGGAACCCAGCAAGCATGTGTCCATGTTTTATGTGGAAGTAAGAAATCAGAGAAAAATGTAATCATCTATAGAAATTCTAGAAATTTGAGATAGAAAACAGAATTTCTTACAATCAATATTTTATCAGTATTTGCATAGTAAAGGAAAGGGAACTCTGAAGGAATGGAGGAATTAGAGCCTGTTGGGCTACCCTGGGTCACAATGTTCAGATGAAGTTTTTAGACATTATTTAACCACAGAAACCTTTTCATCAAATGAATTGTTAGATGAAACCCAACATGCAAAACATAAATAGTGAGCTACCATGGTGAAATGGGATAGGAGTTTGAATTTATGCTCACTTGGCCTTCCCTTTGGATACCATATTGGTCCTCAGGCACTTCTGTGGAATGCTAGTAGCCCAGGAAAACAGTTTAAAAACCGTGATTCTAGGGCTAGAGATGTGACCCAAGTAGCAGATCACCTGCCCAGCATGAGGCCCTGAGTTCAAACTCCAGGACTACCAAAAAAAAAAAAACCTAAAAACAAACAAACCATCATTCTAGAACTCAAAGCAGAAATCTTCTCTTTGGTATTCCAGACAGTTGCACATTCTGTCTAACTCTTAGTGTCCAGTACCTGCTAAGCAGTATGTCCCTTCCTGATGGGGTATTCTTCCTTCTCTTGAGCCAAATTCCTCAACTTCTACCCACTGATAGGACTTTTACTGATCCTAGTAGAAAAATCAAAATAGGCCTAATTCCTTCCATATCAGCTCTTCAAATTTTGAAAGACTTATGTTCTTACCTAACTTTTGTTTGTTCCAAGTTAAACATTCTTCATCCTCCAGTGATTCTCAACCTATTCTTAAATTCATGTATTACTTGGGAATCTGAAAATACTGGCATTAATTAGAAAAATAGACTCAGCATGGAGAGGGCATTCACTTAAGATAAAACAGGAGCACACAGAAGAGGGAGCACAGCCACATACATTTTAAGGTCAATAATAACAGTGAGAGGTGTTGATCTTCTGCTCTAAAAATGGCTCAAAATATGCCATCCCTCCTGAGCCTGGCTCCCTAGCCCTGTGAGTGAGCAAACCAGGGACATGAAAGGAATGGCTATGAGCAAAGCAGAGTCACTTGGCTCTTACTAATAAGTAAGAGCCCCTCAGCAATATCCCTCAGCAATTGGGCTCAGGACTGCAGGACCATAAATGCCCAATATCAGTTAATTTCAGCTGATCTTAACTGAACAAATGCATCTGCAGAGTTACTAACCGTGGACAATGCCATGGACCCTAGTACCTGAAAACAAACGACATTCTATAACCTTGTTTCAGAGCAAGATAGGCCTGTTGGCATCACTTAGTAATCACTGGCTTTATGGTTTGCACTTGGTTTGGTGGAGCCTGTGGAGGTAGGGAGGTGTGTTTCAAAGGTTGGAGCTAGTCATATTGAAAGTGCCTACATGAGTATGAGGCTAACAACCATCACCATCCAGGAACAAATTCACGCTCCCTGGTACCAAGGTTCTTCGCCCACACACTGGTGGTGGTTTGAGACCTGGAGTCATGCATACTGTACAAACCAACAGTGGGAGGACAAAGTTTGCACTTGAACTTTCAGGACTCCTTGCAATGCCTGTCTTTCTTCTGTAGGGCTGTATTGTCTCCCATACCTGTGGCTGGGCTCTCATGGGAGTATAAACTGTTTGAGGCCTCTGGGTGTCTTTGGCAATTGGCCATGAGATGATTCATAGGTAATAATGCAAAAATGGGGATGAGAAGGGATTTCAGAGTGTTGGTGTTTGAGCCTTAAAGTGTTAATGTTGTTTGTAAAGGGAAGGAGAGAGAAGTACAATACCTTAGTTCTGTAGGGGCTTCAAGGAAGTGTCTCCAGAAAAACAACAGAAAGGTGTTCTAGTCTGTTCCCTTAGAAGGACATTTTAATTTTGACAAAGAATATGTCCGCCCAAGATTGCCAAGTGTGTGTGCAAAGAGATGGGGAAGAATCTCAATTTTCTTTCTCTTACAAACTCCTTACTTAAGACTCCATACTTTTTAGAAGGAGCATTGTGGTTTTACATGTGCAAAGTCTTTTGTCCACAAATAGAATGCTACGGATTCTTTTGATTCTCAAACTGCCAAGTATAAATCATGCTGGGAATAAGTGAATTAAGGTCACTGGTTTGAAGAAAGAATGAAAGTAACTCCATGTCAGCCAGGAGTTATGACAACCACCAATAACACAGGCTTAGGAAGGAAGTCCATTCAAGAGGAAGAGAATGTACAAACATGTACCTATACATACATATGTGTATATGTGTGTATGCACACACATGTAACTCTCACACACCACATATACTGGGAAAATGTTCTACAATAAAAAGTGAGATAAAACATAATCATTTTATTCTTAGCTCAGAATTTGAGCTACATTGAATCCACGCTCTGCCCCTGGCCGACTGTAACTATGACGAAGTTATTTAACTGCTCTGAAACAAGTTTCCTCATCTATAAAATGGCAACTGTTTTTACTGTGCAAGATTCTGAAGAAGATTCAAAGAGATAATGCATGACAGGACATGTTATTAAACCAATAAACACCGAGAGATTTCCAGAGGAACAATTTTGACCCACATTTGCTGATGTGTGTTGTATGGAGAAGAAGGACAAAAGGAAGGGGAAAATGGGAATCAGACAAGGCCGGGGAGAAAGAGTTGCTTGACCCCTGAGGAAACTGCCTTAACTTGCCCGTCTTGTCTGCATTGCAATAATCCCCTGAGGACAAAAAAAAAAAAATTCACCATCACTCCACAGACAGAGGCAGCCAGAGAGTGACTCTCAGGACCCAGCAACCTGTCCACCACCATCCTCTTGCCTCAGAGTGGAGAGAGGAGGGTCATTGCTCACTGGGGATGTGTGGAGAGTTGGACTTAAAGGTGTTCTGTGGTCCCTTGTCATGACATTTCATACACTACAAAATGCTCTATCATTTTATATGATACCTTGAGGAAAAGGTAATTGAGAGCACAACTACAGAATCCAAGCCACCTAAAGTGGTCATCCAGTAAGGGCTCCACAAAGATTCAAGCCTAGTTCTTCTCATGATAGTGATTTTCTTCCTTCTACCCAAGCTGCTTCTAACATGATGGCCCATGTGTCTGCCTTGCCTGTTTGCTCCAGCAAACAGGTCCCGGGACCAGTGCCTGTGCTTCTCATTAACTCTCTCCCAGGCCCTCTCCAGACTAGGAGAGCTGGCAGGTAAGGCAGCTTGGGAAGTTGGGGAGTGGGAGTGGGAATTTAATGACCCTCCAGGAATCCCTGTATCCATTGAGGTTCATGCCTCTGCCATGTTCCATGTGGTTTCCACTGGGCCCCCCACCCTGGCACTAGTGAGCCTCAGTTACCCACAGAAGTAATAACCCACTAATAAAATAAGAGGTTTATTGGTGTCTCTCATTCCTCTCACTCTCCCCACTTCCTCAAGTGCTGTTCCTGGAACCACTTCCTATAGAAACAGCCAGCACTAAGGCTTAGGTCTGCTTTTGGGGGAACCCAAACTGAGACAAATTCTAAAATTCATGTGATTCCTTAATTACATTTCATCCCCTCCTTAAAAAAGTAGTTACTGACCAGGGTGGCTAACCAATAGGAACTTGAGGATAACACTTTCAAGCCTTGAAAAAATGAAGATAATGTTCTCCACAAAGCAGCAAGGTATGCCTGGAGTGTCTCAAAGAATCCATCTTGCCAACAACTGCTCTAATTTCAAGACAAGGTGGTGAAGGTTTCCAAGGGCTTTATTATGCAGGTTCAGATCCAGGTTGGATTTTCTAGCTATTAAACAACAGATTTTAGAATAACATCCAAAAAATCAGATGTTATTTCTCCAAGAAAGTAACTGGATTCATAATATAAAAAACTATAAATATGATCAAAGGATTTATATTAGGGAGAACAAAAGCAATCATCTTTTGTGAAAATATATCAACACATACTTTAGGTAGATTTTGGTAAATTTCAATATAATATCTAAACATAACCAACCACTTCTTTTAGTTAAAAAAAAGATATTCCCGGCTTCTGGTAGGTGACTTTACAGTCAACTGTATGGGCTCTATGGACTGAGAATACTTCAATTTTAAAATATATGTATGTAAAATTCTCACATGAAAATCAAATAGTGGCACAACCCACTCAAATATAATGGTTGTTTTCTTTGCAGTATGTCCTGGTTCAAAGACATCATACTGGTAAGTTATCTGCAGTAAGTTCACACAGAATGCTTTCTTTTATAAGACTCTAGCCATTTATTTAACAAAATGGAAATTTCTAATGCACTTTTCTACACTTAAATTTTCAGGGAAATGAGACTCACATTCTACAGTATACATCATTACAAAAGAGTTCATTATAAATTTTAGATCAGCTAAAACATGTTCTCTAATGATTAGGATTCATCATCTTTCAGTGAAGTGAGGTGGTGACATTTTCTTGGGCAAAAAGTCTGTCTGTTTGTCAGAGGAGACCTATCACTAGCACTACCTTCCCTTCATTCCAACCTGTTCATCAGAGGATTTCTTTTAGCAATAAAACAAGTGGAAGTCCATTTGATTATTTGGGTTCCCACATCAAGGGTATGTCCTTTTGTTTTTTCATCCTCTTTACTGACACACTGCTCTATAGAGTCAAGGTGTTCTTGGTTTTGCTCACGTGCTGATTGCTGTGCATGTAGCTGTCATTAGTGTGAATGTGTGGGAGATTTTTTTAATAATATATAGCACCCAAGAAAAAGAACAACACAACCCTCTCCCCAAACTTTGAATTCTTTCTCTTGCAAACTCTGAAAGCCAAGGATCACTTGTGGCGTACAGAATCCGGGGGCTCTAGTCCCAGGTGCAAAGTACACTTTCCAGGTTTCTCCAGGGCAAAGGCAGGGTGAACACCCTCATTAAACCGGTGCCTCACAATGAAGAGTAACTGTCCACTCTCCGCATTTATAAATAGAAGTCTCTGGTTGTTATAGTCCAGAAGAATGCCCACTCTGCTGGGATGCTCAGTCACGTGTACATCGCTCACAATACCACTGTAGAAAAATGTGTATCTGAAATGAAACAGAATATGAAATTAAAAACAAAAAACTGTGGAACTCTTGTAGAATTTGATAAGGAAAGTCACTTGGAAATAACCAATTTTTCAGTTCTTACTTCAACTCACGATAATGAGTAAGTGATAATGTTGTCCCAAATACTTTAACAAGATTCCTCCTAGATACTGAAATGCATAGCTCACCCCATGCTTAATAATTTTGCTCCCTCTGCATTAAGAGGCATCCCAGAATAACCAACATATGCCTCCCTTGTGATTTTTCTCAACATTCTAATTCTTTTCCAGCTGCCCACGTGTTTTAACTGCCACACTCGTGGTGTGTCATTCTTTTGAATAAGACTCCTTTGAGGCTGCCATGTATTTTTTAAAGTATTGCAGGTTCGCCTTCCATACAATGTATTAACTTTACAGCTTTAAAAATTTATAGGTAACTTACATAAGGGCCTTTATGAAGTGTAAGAATGATACTATTTTAACTCCATGTTTTATAAACACTCCCCCTGCCCCAACCTGACCTTTCTCTTTCATATTCTCCATGTTTTTGGCAGCTTCATAGCCAGACAAGGCTGTCTTTAATTTCTCTCTTCAATTCAAATAAGTCGAATCCAATAAGTGCTCCATGGGCATATTTATGTATCTGGTAAGTCCCTGGGCACTCTGGAGGACACGAAGGACTATAGACCTCTCTGGGAAGCCATACTGTATAGTACAGGCAGGAAAACACTGTTGCTGACTGAAACAGGACAAAGGCTAAGACCCCACAGTATAGCACATCCTGTTCAAGTGTTTACTCGACTCATTTAATGCACTCTTCAAGCCCAGAAAGGGAGGGAGAAACTGCTGACCAGGAAAAAAGCTGAATTGCCCCATTCAAAAAAAGTGACACAAGTTCTAAGCTCCTACGAGGCTTAGAAACTGAAAGATAGGCCTTGAACACAGGAGAACAGAAGAAAGGAGAGACGAAGGAGAGGAAAGAGATGAAAAAAAGGACTGTGGGTAGGGGAGGTCTGTGTGTGGCAAGAACAAAGCAATACAGGGCAGTTTTGGGATGCAGGTAAGTGGGAGGCAGAGGGGGCCAAGGACCATTAGGCCTGTGATGTCTGCCTTAGGCCCAGAAGCTCAAGGGCAAGTATTTAGGGGATGGCAAGTGGGCAGCTTCTCTGCAGAGAGAAGCTCCCACAGAAAGGCAGAGGTTTGGGAAGACAGGGAGCTCAGCAAGATGCATGCACTGATCCAGGGCTTCTTTGAAACCTTGCTAGTGAGAGAGATGACAGACATTATGAAGTTCTGGAACCCAGAGTGTAGACCAGCATCTCAGGTGGCAAGGACAGGTAGCAGCAATCTGGTCTGGGGATCTTACAGAAGGCTCTGGTGGGGGGTGGGGGGGCAGACAAGCTCGCTCATTCAGCAAGAATGGGCAGGAATGGAGGAAGAAGAGATCCTAGCAGAGAGGCAGCAGGAGTGGCTTTTAGGATATTGCATAGACAAGGAGTTGGGGCAAGGCTCTAGACCTGCCCTGTCAAGTATGGCAGTCATTAGCCACATGTAGCCACTTAAATTAAAATTAGTTAAAAAATTTAAATACAAAAAATTCAGATTTTCAGTCCCACTAGCCATAGTTAAGCATTTAACAGCCTCTCTATTATTGCAAAATGCACTATTGTACAATCCAGGTCAAGCAGGTTCTGAATACCCAAATGAGCTAATTCCCTTCTCCTTCTTGCAAAGTCCCTAGTCCCAGAAGGCTGAGCATTGGTCAGGCCCAAGTCAATCCCCACCACAAGGCCAAAAGGGTAAAACAACCCTCAAAGCCTTGATTTCACCAGATCCACAGGACCTGGAATCTGCCTGGCCCTGCTTCTGCCTCTGTTTCCTACTAAGCACACCAATTCCTCTATGTTATGGTTTGAACTTCAGGGAGACACATGCAATGATCAAGGACCTTGATCTGCCCAAGGCCCATATGCTAAAGGTTTAGTCACCAGCTTGTGGTGCTATGGAGGTGAATGAATCTTTGGAAGGTGGGGTTTAGTGGAAGTAAGCTTAGGTCATTGGGGCTGTGGCCTTGAAGGAGATATTGTGACCTTTGCCACTCTCTCTTCAGCCTCCATGAGGTGAACAGTTTTTCTCTGCCATGTTTTTCCACCACCATGATGTTCTGTACTAACATAGGCCAAAAGCAACCAGGCCAAATGACCATGGACTGAAACTATGAACCATAAACCATTCCTCCTTTTAAGTTGATTCTCTTAGGTATTTTGTTACAGTGACAGAAAGCTGGCTAATTCACTCCACTCACTTGAACTCTGAGCCTATTTGCCTGGGGCCTAACCTAATCCTAGCTTTTGCCTATCCTTCTTTGGGACTACTGGTCCCTGTTTAAACCAGGATCATTTGGAGGCCTGACACTGAAAACCTGGGTGACCTGGAATGGCCTGTTCTGGGGCCCCAGCACCTTGAATACACTGTAGCCCAGACCCCTTTCAAGAATGGGGATCTCTGGGCTTCTCATCCCCAATCTGGTCACATTCTATCCAGATCCCCCTCTTCACTGTGGCTCCATCTGAGTTCTGACATGAGTGTAGATATTTGTAGGTTTTTTAGCAGAAAAGGGAGGGATATGATGAAAATGATGTTCAGAAATCTTTTCCAGTTGTGACAAGTGGGACAGCTTTGAGTGGGTAGAGAGTAGCAGTGAGGGTACAGGCAGGGTGGCTGTGGAGATACCAGTAAAGGAGGGGAAGGGGCCATGGACTAGGATGGTGAAGTCAGGAATGACAGAAGAGAATCTGTGGAGGCTTCTGAGGCTATCTTACTTCTGCTTTACAATTGTGGCATCTCAAAGCTCAGGTTTAATTGAGAATAATACATCTTGAATTAAAATTATTAAACTAGAAAAGGTGAGAGATATAGGGAGTCTGTTGCAGCTGTTCTCTCAACCTAAAGGTCATGGGTGCCCCCTGTGGAGCCATTGGCACTCCATGTAAACTAAAGGCCCTTGAGACTGGCCTGTCTGTGCTTTGACCACAGAGGTGAGTATCTTCTTCCTCCCAGAATCCCATCCAAGGCCTGAAAGAGCCAAGGACAAGGTTGTAGTTGAACTTGTCAAGGACATATAAAATGCTATTTTATATTCTAGAAATTTGTCCTTAGAGGTTAGACTTTAGTTTGAGTCTTTAAGGGTTCAAATGTAGTGGGTGGTAAGGGAGGGGGTGGGGGCAGGGGGGAGAAATGAACCAAGCCTTGTATGCACATATGAATAATAAAAGAAAAAGGAAAAAAAAAAGGGTTCAAATGTCCAAGGATGTTTTCATGAAATTAATACTTAGTTTTGCCTCCAACTCTATTAATTGTAAACTCTGGCTTTGACCGATTTTAAACTCTGGGCAGGGGCTGAGTTCTTAAGCATTGCACCCCACTGAATATCAATTAATCATAATTGCTCTGACTCGAGGAAATGTGACCTTAAATAGCGGTTGAGGATGGTGTCCTTACAAACCACCTCTGAGAATCAAACTGTCAAGGAGAACGCAGGGAAAATGTGTAGCCAAAGATAAGCAGAATCCCAGTCTGTGGGCCTTTCCTGGGGGCTTGTGAGTGCTGAAGGCTTCCTTTTTAAAACCTTCCATTTGAATACCTCCTTTTGTGTGATCCTTTATAATGTGAAAGCTCTTCCCGGTACCTGATTTCATGTGATCCTCACAAACCCAAACGGTAGCAGGCCAAACATACTGTCTGGTTCTGAGAAAGATGAAGTAGATACAGTATGCTCAAAGGGTTAACCAACTTACTGTGAGTAACCAACAGGAATCTACTTATGGCTAGAGCAGCACTAAAATCAGGTTTCTGGATCCCTGTCCAGAGAGCTTTCTATTCAGATCACAACAGACTTACCTGATCTTTCTGAGATTAACACAGTAACTTTTCATATTGGTCAGGGGTTGACAAATGTTTTCTTTTTGAACCCAGGACCTTGGCATGCCAGGGGAATGCTCTGCTATTTGAACTATGCCCCCAGTTCTTTTGTTTATATTTTGTCTTTGAAATAGAGTCTCATTAACTTTGCCCAGGCTGGCCTTGAACTCACAATCCTCCTGTCTTTGCCCAGCGTAAACTTTTCTATAAAAGGACAGATAGTAAATATCTTAGGATTTGAGAATCAATCAGGCTCTGTCAAGTCTGACATTGTAGTACACAAGTTGCCATAGATAATACATAAACAAATGAGGATGACTGCGTTCCAATGAAACTTTATTTATAAACCTCTTTCTCATTCCTGTTGATTCTTCTCTGTAAAAAGAGCCCTATGAACATAACCCTTATGGTTTCTCTCCACCCTGGGGTGACTCTTTCGTTTCTCTTGGTCATGAGCTAACTGACCTTCCACAGACCAATTCTGTCGAGGCTGGCCGGGCCAGGATTCAGGCAGTACAAGAAACCCTCTTGTCCTCTGGTATGAGCCACATTTTCTAATACTAGCTTCCTTAGTATTCATAGTTTACTCTCCATATATTTGGCTTGCCTTTCTCAGTTGGCTCAGAACTTGGGCAGGGAAGTGGGATGTTCCCTGCAAGGTCCCTCAGAGCCCCAGGCCTATCCTCTCTGTGTGACCCTGTGATTAGGTGAGGAGATGCAGGCTCCACTTACCTCTGTGGGGCAGAGCAGTGCATGTACCATGAAGTTTCCCCTTGTCCCAGGGCACCAGCCCTCATGGCCGAGCTGGAGCAGATGCCAAGTCGATATGCTGGGCACTCTGTGACTGTGGTTTCCCAGTAATGCTGGCCGCAGGCAGGCAGCACCTCACCCAGCACTGAGGGGATTCTGCAGACAAAGTTGATCTGGTTAGCATGGCATAGGAGCCACCAGCCTTCATCCCAGGAGCACCCACATTCATGGCTCACATACTCTTTAGGCAGCATCCTATCTTTGGAAACTGCTAGAATCTAACTAAAGAGATTATCTGTTCTTTGTGCTCCTAGCCATGGCCAGACTGGGGAATGCCCCAGCATTCTCCAAAGCCTCACCATACAGTTGACATATTCCACTGCCTCATACAGCACACACACGTGGCATGTTGCATCTCTTAGAGGAACTGGGGACCAGGAAATCACTAGAATAATGGTAGGAAAGAAAGAAATGGCACAACCTCTGCTTTCAGGGAGAGGGAATAAATAAAAAGAGCCAGGGAGAGAATATGACGTACAAAGTTTTTCTCCAAAAGTTGCAATAAAAGTACTCTCCAAAAAACTTTTTTTTTTTTTGCTATAGGATCTCACTATGTAGCCTAGGCTGACCTTGAACTCACAATCCTCCTGCACAGCCTCTCAAATGCCAGGATGACAAGTATGTATCACCATCCCCAGCCTTCACTGTTCTTTGTGAATTCCAATGACTGCTGACCTTCCTGGGCAAAGCAATCCAATAAAGTTCAGCTCATAAACGGCATGGCAGTGGGCAAAGCAGAGCAGGCAGAAAAGAGTGTAGAAAGGACTGGATCTGATTGGGACTTAATAGAAGCTGTGGGCCACAGACTTCCTGCCTGTGACCTCTCTGGATTGGAGGAAGTGCCCCTGAAAGGTTGGTTGAAGGCCACTCTTTGCTTCACCTCAGGTGTTTTTACAAGAGACACTGTGAAATGGACCAAGACACTTCAACTGCTGATGGGTGACCTTGTTTGCACAAATTGCTCAATTTTGTTTGGAAATGGCTGAGACAGCAAGGAGGCATTTTTAATTTCATCAGTGTTAATATTCAGTCAGTCCTTCTCCCCCTCTCCTCTTTAACAGACTAGAAAATGATTAATGCATAGGAATGTATTTCACTTCCTCATTTTCGAGAGGTGCCTACTTCCTCAACAACCTCATTTTCGAGAGGTGCCTACTGACAAGCCCTCACTCCCTGGAGCAGAGCCCGGCCGTCTGATATTTATGAGCTAATTTTCAGGTTCATAATAAATAAACAAAATTCTATAAAAATACATTACACTTTTCATCAGTTATTATCTGTGAACTCTTGCCAACCTCCAATCTACTTCTTTTCTTTCTGATGATTGAGAAATCCAAAAAGACAGAAAGATCCAATCAATTTCTTAATTTTTTTCCCCCTGCATCTACTCATGAGTGTATTTTTAGCACCTACAATGTTCCAGGGCCCATGGTGGATTCTGGGGATTCAAAGATGCCTAAGACAGGGTGCTGCTCAGTGGTTAGTCATGACTGAGTGGCTGGAGTCCTTTTACATAGATTCAGACTCCAGGACCCAGAGAAAGCCTGGCCATTTCCAGAAAGCAGGTAGCACCTGAGCGGAATCACAGACAGGTGAGGAACACCTGGAGGGGAAAACAGGGCCAGTCACCAGGCTCTGGCTGAGCAACTTTACTGTGAGTTCCAGGTGTCAGCCAACACCTGGGGATATCAGCACCTTTGCCACGTGTGTTTCAAAAGATTTTCACATACTTTTCCCTGCTTTGGCCATCTTGACCCTCAAAATAACCTTGAGAGGGTAGAGGCGAATTGCAGGGCAGTCTCCTCACCCGTGCTTAGCTTTTGGTTATTCTTTTCTTTGATGTTTCTTTTTAGGGGCTACTGGGGGGGGGTCAAGGTTCTGTGGCCAGAACTAAGAACTCATCAAAATGTCCTTCTCCTCTACTCCTAATAAAGTGGATGATACTTGGTTTGCCACTAAAAATAACATAATTTTCACTGGACTCTTTTTCATTGAACCAGAGATAATACCTTTAAATAGTCAGTGTTTTAAATAAAACCATCTATGCTTAAATGCCCAACAAAAATATTGGCACTTGCTCCAAGTTGTGAACACTCCCTGCCATTTCCCACCTCACACTGAACCATATTCATGTTCCTCAAACCCAGAAAAAGTTCAGGTGAGGCCACACTGAAATGACGGCGCTAATCCTCCACGGCTGAGCCTCACCCCACCCGCCTTCTTCTACTTACTCGGTTAGCCGTCTCCTCTCAGCGAAGCTGATCACTGTCCCATTTGAGGAAATTTGTAGAGCAGGATGAGCTGTTTCTCTCAACAAGAGAAATCTGGTTCCTAGGGTCATTAAGGAGATAAGATGATGGGGTTGAGGGCACGACTTAAGTGGCAGAGCGCCTGCCTAGCAAGGGCAAGACCCTGAGTTTAAATCCCAGTACACAAAAGAAAACAAGATGATAACATTGCCACAAGGTCAAATGTCAGGCCAAAACCACATTTGAGACCCTGGTCTCTCTTTCCCCTAACATCAAAATCCTAACTCAGTGTTTTCAGATCCAAGCTGAAAATTTCACTCATGAGAAGGCCTTAGTGAATGTTCCCGCCTGGTCAGTCACCTCTCCCTGGCACTGTAGAAAAGTGCTTGACTACCTTGACTACCCTATGTAGGTTACACACACACATATACACACACACACATATACACACATACACACTGGGAGTGAAACACAAATCTTGGAAGATTTCTTTTTCTTTTTTTCCACATTTTTTTTCGTTTATTCACATGTGCATACAATGTTTGGGTCATTTCTCCCCCTACCCCTGCCCCCTCCCTCTCCCCCACTACCCTCTTGCTTCTGGGAAGATTTCTGAAACCACAAATGTTCTAGGCCATCTCTGAATCAATTAAGTCCATTTCTCCAGCAGTGGGACCAGGGCATCGGTACTTTTGAACACCCTAGCTGATAAGGGCAGCCAAATTTGAGAACCTCTGAACAAGAAAAATAAAAGAACCATCTTGACCTTGGACCAATCTTGGTACCGAGTGACAAAAACCTAGCGCTGACAATGGCTGGGAACTTTAGGAAGTTGTCCTCTAAGATGTCTTCTCTAGACGGTAGAAGGGAAGGATGGAAAATGCCCAGAAGTCACTTGCTGTGCACAAAGGAGACCTTACCTCTGGTGGAGATGAGGGCAGCTTCGCTCTGTTCACTTGTCCCAGACGCATTGATGGCTCTCACATAGAAGAAGTAATTGTCATTGGGTTGGAGGTTAACTTTCAGCTGGAGTCCTTTAATTCCGGAGAAAGATCTAAATACAAAGGGGAGATAATCTGAATATAATGCCATGTGCTAAATGACTCGGGTCTCAATTCTGCAGTGAATGGACAACTTTTATTAACAAAAATAATTTTATTTTCTTCCTTTTTCTGATCACTGACTCCACAAGTCAGATTCTGAAAAATGACCATTGTCCACTAAGATTACTTTATCGAGTCATTTCTACTTTTGTCAGCTTTTGTCCAGTATGTACCTTCCAGAATGTAAGTACTTTTCCAGAAAAGGTTCTGGAAAAGAACCAGAACCTTTTTGGAAAGAACCAGAACCTTTTCTTTAAAAAAAAAGTTAAAAGATTAGTAATTTTGTGGTCAATGAATCTCCAAGAATGTATTATTTTATTTATTTTTGACACATTTGGATTAAGATGATGTTAAGTCCATTTATAGTACAAGGGACCCTAATTATCTCATTAGCTGATCCAAATTGTAAAAAACTTAGAGTGAGTAATGACTTTGTACATGGCCAGCATGCCAAAGCCACCAAAGTTCTTAGAAACTGAAAATCTTTAAAGAAGACAGTATCTTTTAAAACAGAGTGAATCCTGGCAAGAGAACTTTCATTGTACCCCCAGCAAAAAAACTCTCAAAATTGCTGTTCCTAAGTCAACCGTTGAAATGAAAAGGAAAGTACTGGTAGTGGCACTGAATGGGCAGTGGCTTGGCAAGCCCACCATGGCAGTCCACCTGCTTAACGCAAAAGGACTTCCTGGATTCTAAGATGGAGCTCTCTGGACTCGCCAATTGACTGCAATAGCTTTGTGTTTCTCTGGTATTCTCTCTACTCTGCTTGACATCTACAGCATCGATGCAGGCCCGAAGCCTTTCTCCTTGCACCTCCATTTGGAGAGGCCTGTGGAGAGTTACAAGTTACACTTCTTATTAATGACAGAATTCTTAGTCTGGCTGCTAGAGAGGCAGAGTTCCAGTTCCTGAGAGATGCATGCGGAAGAGCACTCAATGAAAACAATAGCATGTAATATAAATTAATGCAAACGAGAGGAAAAAATAATAATAACTGAAAAATAGCACATTTGCCTTCATGTTCATTCTTGGGAGTGTAGAGTTTTTGTTTATTTGTTCTCTTTCTTTTTTTCTTTCTTATTAATAAATGTACTACATTATTTGAATCAGAGTGTTGTTTTCTTTTTTGAGGCTATTTGTACTTTTGTTGAATTATTTCACTTCTCAATACCTGCCTTAGAGAATAACATGGAGAATCAGAAAAAGAAAAAAGTAACATTAACTCAGAAAACATACTAATTTAGATTTCAGTGCTGGGAACAGAACCAGGGCCTCTACCACTGAGTTAGATCCCCAGCCCTTGGTTTTTTGTTTGTTTGTTTGTTTTTTATTATTCATATGTGCATACAAGGCTTGGGTCATTTCTCCCCCCCCCGCCCCACCCCCTCCCTTACCACCCACTCTGCCCCCTCCCTCTCCCCCGAACCCCCTCAATACCCAGCAGAAACTATTTTGCCCTTATCTCTAATTTTGTTGAAGAGAGAGTATAAACAATAATAGGAAGGACCAAGGGTTTTTGCTGGTTGAGATAAGGATAGCTATACAGGGAGTTGACTCACATTAATTTCCTGTGTGTGTGTGTTACCTTCTAGGTTAATTCTTTTTGATCTAACCTTTTCTCTAGTTCCTGGTCCCCTTTTCCTATTGGCCTCAGTTGCTTTTAAGGTATCTGCTTTAGTTTCTCTGCGTTAAGGGCAACAAATGCTAACTAACTTTTTAGGTGTCTTACCTATCCTCACCCCTCCTTTGTGTGCTAAAGCTTTTATCATGTGCTCAAAGTCCAATCCCCTTGTTGTGTTTGCCCTTGATCTAATGTCTGCATATGAGGGAGAACATACGATTTTTGGTCTTTTGGGCCAGGCTAACCTCACTCAGAATGATGTTCTCCAATTCCATCCATTTACCAGTGAATGATAACATTTCATTCTTCATGGCTGCATAAAATTCCATTGTGTATAGATACCACATTTTCTTAATCCATTCGTCAGTGGTGAGGCATCTTGGCTGTTTCCATAACTTGGCTATTGTGAATAGTGCTGCAATAAACATGGGTGTGCAGGTGCCTCTGGAGTAACCTGTGTCACAGTCTTTTGGGTATATCCCCAAGAGTGGTATTGCTGGATCAAATGGTAGATCAATGTCTAACTTTTTAAGTAGCCTCCAAATTTTTTTCCAGAGTGGTTGTACTAGTTTACATTCCCACCAGCAGTGTAAGAGGGTTCCTTTTTCCCTGCATCCTCACCAACACCTGTTGTTCATGGTGTTGCTGATGATGGCTATTCTAACAGGGGTGAGGTGGAATCTTAGTGTGGTTTTAATTTGCATTTCCTTGATTGCTAGAGATGGTGAGCATTTTTTCATGTGTTTTTTGGCATTTGAATTTCTTCTTTTGAGAAAGTTCTGTTTAGTTCCCCTGCCCATTTCTTATTGGTTCATTAGTTTTGGGAGAATTAGTTTTTTAAGTTCCCTGTATATTCTGGTTATCAGTCCTTTGTCTGATGTATAATTGGCAAATATTTTCTCCCACTCTGTGGGTGTTCTCTTCAGTTTAGAGACCATTTCTTTTGATGAACAGAAGCTTTTTAGTTTTATGAGGTCCCATTTATCTATGCTATCTCTTAGTTGCTGTGCTGCTGGGTTTCGTTGAGAAAGTTCTTACCTATACCTACTAACTCCAGAGTATTTCCTACTCTTTCCTGTATCAACTTTAGAGTTTGTGGTCTGATATTAAGATCCTTGATCCATTTTGAGTTAATATTGGTATAGGGTGATATACATGGATCTAGTTTCAGTTTTTTGCAGGCTGCTAACCAGTTTTCCCAGCAGTTTTTTTGAAGAGGCTGCTATTTCTCCATCATATATTTTTAGCTCCTTTGTCAAAGACAAGTTGGTTATAGTTGTGTGGCTTCATATCTGGGTCCTCTATTCTGTTCCACTGGTCTTCATGTCTGTTTTTGTGCCAGTACCATGCTGTTTTTATCATTATTGCTTTGTAATATAGTTTGAAGTAAGGTATTGTGATAACTCCAGCATTGTTCTTTTGACTGAGTATTGCCTTGGCTATTTGTGGCCTCTCGTGTTTCCATATAAATTTCATGGTAGATTTTTCAATCTCTTTAATGAATGTCATTGGAATTTTGATGGGAATTGCATTAAACATGTAGATTACTTTGGGGAGTATCGACATTTTTACTATGTTGATTCTACCAATCCATGAGCATGGGAGAGCTCTCCACTTTCTATAGTCTTCCTCAATCTCTTTCTTCAGAAGTGTATAGTTTTCCTTGTAGAGGTCTTTCACATCTTTTGTTAGGTTTACACCTAGGTATTTGATTTTTTTTGAGGCTATTGTAACTGGAATTGTTTTCATACATTCTTTTTCAGTTTGCTCACTGTTAGTGTATAGAAATGCTAATGATTTTTCTATGTTGATTTTATATCCTGCTACCTTGCTATAGCTATTGATGATGTCTAGAAGCTTCTGAGTAGAGTTTTTTGGGTCTTTAAGGTATAGGATCATGTTGTCTGCAAATAGGGATATTTGACAGTTTCTTTACCTATTTGTATTCCTTTTATTCCTTCTTCTTGCCTAATTGCTCTGGCTAGGAATTCCAGTACTATGTTGAATAGGAGTGGAGATAGTGGGCATCCTTGTCTGGTTCCTGATTTTAGGGAATGGTTTCAGTTTTTCTCCGTTAAGTATAATGCTGGCTGTAGGTTTGTCATATCCTTGGTTTTTTTTGAGACAGGGTCTTACTATGTAGCCCAGGCTGACCTTAAACTCAAGATCCTCCTGACTCAGCCTCCTCAGTGCCGGGATTGCTGGTGTGTACCACCATGCTTGGTGCCTAGAATTTATTAAAAGCAAAAAAAAAAAAAAAGTATGCGATAATGATCCTACCCTCGCCCCATGTCTAAAGGCACAAAAACAGTGTGGTCCTCAGAAGGATGTGGGAAGGGAACAGGCTGGAACTATGCATCTGCGCTTTAGTGCCTGTGCGTGGAAAAGGTCAGTGCAAGCTCCTCAGATGATATTGGTTGCTATTTCTGAACCTGTCGCCTGACGGGCCCCTCCAGGGAGCCCTATATTTAGATGCCCTGAGAATGGATGCATAAAATTGAACCACATGACCATTGACAGCTAATTAATGAAAAACCATGTCCTGTGATTGAGAATGAAATTCCTGGCTAGTGTCTGGAATATTATTCTAGGGTAGATGTGCTGCTTATCATATTTAAATTCATGATAAAAGAAATGTTTCAAATGATCACTAACTATAATTAGGAATAAAATTATTGTCTCAATAAGCGTATCCAGCACATGCTGAGAGTGGTTATACTTCATTCACTCATTAAATAAGTACTTATTGATCACTTATGTTTCCAGGCCCTGTCTCTGCCTGTACCCTGAAGCCTAGAGGTGAAGTGACAAGTACAGATGAGGAAGTTTAAGCTCTGGAGACTAGACAGAACATACTGGTGCCATTTTGTAACAGTGCAGTTGTTTACAAGAATGCTGTTTTTCAGGGTCTTGCTCTTGGGTTTTGTGAAGTCTGTCAAGGAGGAAATTCCATATACATCATTAATTTATTCTATACTCGAGTATAGAATAAAGGTTTACATGGCACTGAAGTCAAAATGCAGGATCAGATCCTGCTTTCACTGTGTGACACAGGGCATGCAGCTACAGCAAAGGTGCACAAAGTCCTCACCGAATCTGTAAAGTCAAAGCACCAGGCATGAAAACAAAAGTCACAGAAACTCAGTGCTATCTGTTGTTCACAGGTTGCCATCTTAAGCTCACACACCAAGAACAAATGAAAAAAGGTCAGACACAATGGCACATGGCCACGTCTATTTATCCTGTCTGATTCCATGTAGATAGCACAAAGTTTTCATGTCAGCAGTGCTTCTTTTTAGCCAAATGTAAACTTTGAAAATTTTGGAATTTGCTATCAGAAGAGTGGCACCCTTCCATAGATTATGACTTTCTTACTTGTCAAA